CCAATTCGTATTTGCAGTCTTCGAGAGTCCAGTAGACATGTTTCGATTTCAACATAAACCTACAGTTTAATTCAGTTACCTGTCGAGAAGTCGGGGCTGCGTGGAGTGTCAAGCATGCATATCACAAACAACATTAACCACAACAGGTAAAATCCATGAGGAAAGACGACGTTGTCGGACACATACGATTTATAATTTTTTGGAATGCGCCACGAATATTATTGAAACGTCATGACTGGATCGAAACGCTGGACGATACCATCTTGTGCCGGTCAAATCTTCATGGAACGCAGTTTGCAAGACATTCATGGCAATAAAATATTGAAGGGTGGAGTGGCCGTCTTGCTAGCAGGTGATTTTTGGCAGACACTGCCGATTATAAAGCGAGATAACGCGGCTGGCATGATAAAAACACATACCTCAAATTTCGTCGCTGTGAGCTAAGGTAGGTGACCACTCTATCTTAGCAAATAATGAACTTAATACTACCATGAGGATCCTGCTCTTCTCTCACAAATGCTTCTTGAGGTCTACAAAGGTCACATGGCGACGGATAATAAATAACGATTCACAGACTACTTAGCAAAGTTATAAACTCGGACGAGAATCTTGTTAATGAGTTATATCCGAGTTTATAAGAAACCCCGACTAACGAGAAGAGGTTATGCGAAAGAGATGTCATGGCGTCCAAAATCGAAATGGTAGAAAAAACTACTAAACGAATACTAAAGTAAGCGGCATCTCAAAACAAACAGTTCTTCCTAAGTCAAAAATATTTCGTTCGAGATATCTAAAAAGTAATGGAAATATACAAATGCTCTGGATAGCAAAGTGTGCCACCTGACTGATGCTTTACCTAGTGTAAATATATTTTAGGAAGCCAAATTAACTTAAAATATCTCAACAAGAAAAGGCACTTTTTTTAAACTACGTATTAATACCAATAATAGGTTGTCAAAAAAATCTTGCGGTATTTTTATTGAATTTTTTTTTTCAATTTTCAATTGTTCATAAAATGCTACGGCTGCTACAATGCCGTGTCTCTTTCGACCAATTCAGCGATTTTATCGCAATTTCCGACGACAGGTCTTCCGTAGCGTGGCGCATCTTCGACCACCTCTACGCGAGAACGAAAACGTTAAAGCCATCGTTGTGCGGTGGAAATGGAAACTGTATCGGGTCCATAAACTGCACAAATTTTATTGGCGGCTTGAGATGCATTTTTGCCTTTATCGTAGT